GCCATGAATCTTGAAATGGAGTCAATGTACTTCAATTCAGTCTGGGAACTTGTAGATCAACCGGATGGGGTAAAACCTATTGGTTGCAAATGGATCTATAAGAGGAAACGAGACCAAACCGGTAAGGTACAGACCTTTAAAGCACGACTAGTAGCAAAGGGTTATACCCAAAGAGAGGGGGTGGACTATGAAGAAACCTTCTCTCCTGTTGCTATGCTTAAATCAATAAGAATACTCTTGTCTATTGCCACATTTTATGATTATGAAATTTGGCAAATGGATGTTAAGACAGCTTTTCTAAACGGCAATCTTGAAGAGAGTATCTATATGGCTCAACCAGAGGGGTTCATTGAACAGGATCACGAGCAAAGGGTTTGCAAGCTTAAAAGATCCATTTATGGGTTGAAGCAAGCATCTCGATCCTGGAATATAAAGTTTGATACTGCGATCAAATCTTATGGCTTTAAACAGAATGTTGACGAACCTTGTGTTTATAAAAGGATAGTCAACTCTACAGTAGCTTTCCTGGTGTTGTACGTTGACGATATCCTACTCATTGGAAATGATGTGAGAATTCTGACTGACATTAAGCATTGGCTGGCGACACAATTCCAAATGAAAGATTTGGGAGAGGCTCAGTTTGTTCTTGGAATCCAAATTATTCGGAATCACAAGAACAAAACACTAGCATTGTCTCAAGCATCGTACATCGACAAAATGTTGATTCGATATAAGATGCAGGACTCCAAGAAAGGATTATTACCTTTCAGGCATGGAGTTCATTTGTCGAAGGAACAAAGTCCTAAGACACCTCAAGAAGTTGAGGATATGAAACACATTCCCTATGCATCAGCGGTCGGTAGTCTGATGTATGCCATGCTTTGTACCCGACCCGACATATGCTATGCTGTGGGAATTGTCAGCAGATATCAGTCCAATCCGGGACGTGCTCATTGGACTGCCGTTAAGAATATCCTCAAGTATCTTAGGAGAACGAGGGACTATATGCTAATGTACGGTGCTAAGGATCTGATCCTTATAGGGTACACTGACTCAGATTTTCAGACCGATGTAGATTCGAGGAAATCGACATCAGGATCTGTCTTCACTCTGAACGGAGGAGCAATAATATGGAGAAGCATAAAGCAAGGTTGCATTGCTGATTCCACCATGGAGGCTGAGTATGTTGCTGCTTGTGAAGCAGCGAAAGAATCTGTATGGCTTAGGAAGTTCTTAACTGATTTGGAAGTCGTTCCAAATATGCATCTTCCCGTCACTCTTTATTGTGATAATAGTGGAGCAGTTGCAAATTCAAAAGAACCAAGAAGCCATAAGCGAGGAAAACATATTGAACGCAAATATCATCTCATAAGGGAGATTGTGCAACGAGGAGATGTGATCGTCACACAGATAGCTTCAGAGCACAACATTGCTGATCCATTTACAAAGCCCCTCACGGCTAAAGTGTTTGAAGGGCACCTAGTGAGTCTAGGACTACGAGTTATGTAATTTAGGGCAAGTGGGAGAAAAGGCATCAGTATGTGATGCCCTAGTTTATTGCATTTCTCTCTACTCAACGTTATAAAACCCAACTAGAGTTTTAGTCCAAGTGGGAGTTTGTTGGGTTTTATGTCCTAAAACTCATAGTTTGTAAACAAAGATATATTCTATTTTCAATAAAGTTATTATTGATGTTTATTCAGTAAAAATTGTTATTGAATAAAGTGAACTTTACGATCATTAATCTAAATCCAATAAACTAAGAACACTCTGGCTATAGTATGATTACTTGAACTATATGTAGAGACATAAGAGTGGATCAAGTTCAAGTATATAGTCAAAATGATCTATAGTATAAGGATAAGGCTGAGTACCTTATTCTGGGGACACTATGGATGCGGCCCACTTTTGTATATGATATAAACAATGTGATCACTAAATTGTGCATGTGGAGACATGTGAGTGGGGGCGTCCTATGCAATGAGTATTGCATAAGATCGGACCATGAAGAAAACCACTCTCACTTTATAAAGTCGTTTACTGTTGAGACTGATTTTCTTTTCATTCGATAACCTAGGTAACTCGGTTTTAATCCTGAGCTAACCATGAACTCCTGTTTATTCGGAATTATCCTTAGATTTGCATGGGTGAGAGTGGCTCTAGTTCGCCGACTCAACAGGCCTCCCATTTCAGGGGTAAGACTGGGTGAATGGCTGGGGATGTGGGGTGCAAGACGGAATTCACTCCTACCCACTTAGGGATAGAAGAAAGGTAGTTCCCTTAAGCACTGACTCCAGGTCTTGAACAAGGGGCCCCACCCTCTCATTGGCCTGAGAGGGATTTGGTTTACTGGTTGGACCACAAACTAATTGTTCATTAGAGGATCAGTGAGACATAAGGAACAAGAAGTAACTTCAGGGGTAAAATGGTAAATTGACCCAGCTCTAGTTACGAACAACCTGTGAAGGATCGACTTACTAATCATGGTTATATCAGATGGACAGAAATATATCTATAGTGAGGGGAGTGCAACTACTAGGCTATAGTGGAGTGTCCTAGTAGTTAACGAATGTTGGTTAACCAGGTTAATGAGTTTAATCGGTTAATCTTGGATCGTTGGAGCCCATGATCTATAGGTCCATTAGGTCCCTCTGCTAGCTCATATCGGACTAAACCATAGAACAATGTGACGAGTGAGTTCGAAGTGTTCGAATTCAAATTAGGGAATATGCGTTACATATATACGATATATTTAACCGCAATTTTGTTTTATTTACGAATTAAACGAAAAGAGAGAATCTGAGATATTTAAATAAGATTTAAATATCTTAATCAATTATGTGTCGGAATTGATTGGGATTGGCATTTGAATTAATATTAAATATTAATTAAATAGTTTAATTAATCATTTAATGTTACTTTAATTTGAAATTCATTATTCAAATTAATTGTTGAATTAAAATGAAGAAAGTCAAAATGTTGACTTTCATCTAATGGAAAAATCCATGTTAGTGGAATTTTGAGGTGTCAAAATTTGGTTTAACCAAACTTGCATGTTTGCCAAATAAACCCCACAAGTTTGAGTGGAATTTTGAGTGTCAAAATTTGGTTAACTCAAACATGCATGCTTGCCACATAATCCCAAACTCTTGAGTGGAATTTTAAGTGTCAAAATTTGGTGATCTCAAGTTTGCATGAACATGCAAACTTGACTCTTTAAATAGAGTGATCATGATATTTGGAGGGGATTCTTCATCTTGATGAAAAACCTTGAGAAAAACTTCTCACAAACACTCTCTTTCACATATACAAAATCCCTCCCAAGTTTAGTCACTCACCGGATTCCACAATCCCGTTCTAAGGCCGGAGGATAGTGGAGAAGACACTAGTGGTGGTTCGAAACCGGTTCGTGAGGCAAAAGAAGTTTGAACTACAAAAGGTTAGTATTTAAACTCATTAAGTTTTAATACTTATGAACATGCTAGTGATTTACAATAATTGATGTTCTAAAAGTGCCTAAGATCCAAATTGCTTCCGCATGTGTTATATTAACACCATCAGATGGAAGTCCCACATCGACTAATTTAGGGTGTAATCATGGGTTTATAAGTGAGGAATACTAACTTCATTGGCATGAGGCCTTTTGGGGAAGCCCAAAGCAAAACCATGAGAGCTTATGCTCAAAGTGGACAATATCATACCATTGTGGAGAGTTGTTCGTCAGTGACTTTATTGTTGGTTGGTTGAAAGAAATGTATGATGACATGTTATTTATGAATGTGATGTCCGAGTATGCCATGTTATGTATGATATGAAATGCTACGTTTGTTGTACTATGCATGTCATGTGAAGCCCTGTTATAGATTATACTATACTAATGATGTTGTACAATGTTACGTCATGCATATCTTCAGTATCTATGTTCGTCAAGATATCATGCAGGTCTTTTCGTCTATGGTGTTTGGCAGCCGTCTACACGTTTAGTCTAACGAGTCATGCCCAAGGGTACATATACGAGTCTGCCTGATAGGTCTATGTGTGCATACGTGGGTCGTGTGTGGAGAAGTACCACACATCCAACCCTTCTCGAACTAGAAATACTCATAATAATAAGCTTTGTAAAATATTTTTTTAGTTTTAAAAATTTTACTTGTAACAGTCCAATCCAACCGCTAGCAGATATTGTCCTCTTTGGACCTTTTTTTTTTACTTCCCTCTTAAGGTTTTTAAACGCGTCTACTGGAAAGAAGTTTCTAGACCCGTACAAAGAGTTTTTTATTCTTCTCTCCAGTCGATGTGCGATCTCACAAATGAGTAGAAAATAAATAGCATATTTATCTCTAAATTCTAAAAAAATTTAATATTTTGAAAGTTAGTATTTAAAAAAAAGAATTAAAAATTCAAAGATATTTTTAAAATAAATTATTAATCGTCTCCCTCCATTAAAATACAAAATTTAAAAATAAAATTTGAAAGTATTTTTATTAATTTTGAAAATGTTTTTTTTAAAATATTCTTACAAATTTAACATTAAAGTACAAGACGGCGACAGCTTGGAATTATTTTTCTAACGGCTAGTTATTTGGAGAAGGTAAAATGTCTATTTAGTCCTCCTCTCTGATCTATGAGGCTCCAAGAGGCGCGCATCTTGTGAGTGCCTTTACTTTAAAAACAAAGACAATCAATTATTAAATATAATTTTATAAATACTGAAAAGTTTAAATATTTCCAATTTTGTGAATTTATAATTTATGAGCTTTTTTATTTTACTTTTTTTTATTTATGAAATTTTTTACTACTTTAGATCAAATAATATTATAATTAATACATAGGAAATTAATTTAAATTAAAACAAATCAGATTAATTAAATCGTCTTTCATAGTAGGGATGAAGGGTACTTTGGTAATTACTTTCAGCAATTCAAATTTTAATTTGTTTTCAAATTCCCAACGGTCAGTTCGTCCCATCATTTGCTTTCTTCTTCATCAAAACCCTTCGCTTTCTCGCATTTCGCAATTTGAACTCTCTCTCTCTCTCTCTCGTACTCTGTTTTGAAAGCTTCAATTTGTTTCAGAATCAGAAACAATGAAGTCGAATACAGCAGAATCAATGGAGACTGGTTTCTTGGGAAGCATATCTGCCTCTTCCTTCCGAAACCTCCTTCCTCGATCCATCTCTTCTAAGAAAAAACTAATTTCCTCCTTTTCTAAGAAGCTTCCGCATTCAAATTCTGAAAATATGCCTCCTATTGATCCGAACATTCCTGTCAAGGACGACCGGATTTCCACGACCATTTCCAAGTCCGGTGTCCGGAATTCTCCTCACGATGCTTTGCCTCCAGATTCCAATCTTGATCTGAAGGTATGCGTAATTTTCTTCGGCGAATTTCACTTCTGTTGAAAGAGATCTACTGATTTTTCTTTTTACGACGAACTCTTAGGATGAAGTTGTCCAATCAGACGGCCAGTATGAAGTTCCTACCCCTACTTATCAGCCGATTAAGGTATGTTGAAGTTTACGTTATGTTCGCTCTGTAGATCTATGATTTCTTCTTGATTTGATTATTTGATGAATGTTTACGGTCTTTTCTTGTTCTTCTTTTGTGACGGCGGTGGTGGATTTTTATATAGGTTGTCGTGAGAATTAGACCTAATGATAGAGAGAAGGAAATGGACAGGACGGTGAAGAAGATTTCTTCAGATGAATTGACATTTCAGGACCGTAAATTTTCATTCGATTCAGTTTTCGATTCAGATTCGAAACAGGTACTGCGTTTGATCCTTTCTCTTTATATCCTGTCTCAGAAATTATTAATTTCGGATCTAAGGAAAGAAATCTGTTTGAAGTAACGAAATTGTGATGTTGAAGTAGCTTGATTCTCACAGCATTGTTTGGTTAAACTTTTTAGGAAGATATCTTTTCGAAGATCGGAATTCCGCTAGTGAAAGATGCGTTAGCTGGTTATAACACTTCCATCATGTCATATGGTCAGGTAATAGTTGAATCTTATGTTCTACACAAATTCTTTCATATCCATAATATCACAAGGTGGAAGATTGACAAGCTAATTCGCATTTTGTATTGCTTCAATTGAATCTTAACAGACGGGAAGTGGTAAAACATTCACAATGTGGGGTCCCCCGAGTGCCATGGTTGAGGATCCTTCACCCTTTAGTAACCAAGGCCTTGCTCCTCGCATCTTTCAAATGCTGTTTTCAGAGATTCAAAAAGTGGGCATCCATTCATTCCCTTTCTATATCAATTCAATTAGGTTCCATAGCTCAATTTCTAATATTCTGGTTATCCAACTCAGGAACAAGAGAACTCTGAAGGAAAACTGATAAATTACCAGTGTCGTTGTTCTTTTGTTGAGGTATGGATTACTTTCTTGACTTTTTCTATACCGTTTTTTAAAATCTATCTGTAACCTTCTTCTGCATTGATTCCCATTCCAGATATTTAATGAACAAATTGGGGATTTGCTTGATCCTTCCCAGAGAAACCTTAAGGTTAGCTTGGTTGTCTTCAACATTCTGTTGTCGTTGGTGTTTTATGCATCTTCTGACCATTGATATAAACTTTTGCATTATTTCACCAGATTAAGGATGATGCAAAGAATGGACTGTATGTGGAAAATGTCACAGAGGAATATGTGACAAGCTACGATGATGTAACTCAGATTCTTATCAAGGTGGGGAATGGAAACTAACCTTTTTTTGGTTCTTTTTTATTTTTAGTTTTGGTGTTATTCTTCCTTTGTTTTCAACCATCACAATTCAGGTTTCATTTGCTTACTTTTCTCTATTACAATGCAGGGACTTTCAAGTAGAAAAGTCGGAGCTACCACTATAAATTCTAAGAGCTCTAGGTCTCATATTGTGTTTACTTTCATCATTGAGTCATGGTGCAAGGTACCTTGATATGTCATTTTTGTTTTAGTTGTTCTTCTGTTTCGTTAGTCTCTTAACATAGTGTGATTCAGCTGGCTGAGACATGCAAATTTGCATCATATTTTTGGATGCAGGAAACTTCATCCAAGTGTTTTGGTAGTTCAAAGACGAGCAGAATCAACCTTGTTGATCTTGCTGGATTAGAAAGGAATGTAAGCGATGCCATGGGTAGACAATCCACAAGGGAAGACAAGATTTTGAAGAAGTCTATGTCACGGCTCGGGTATGAGAAACAATGATTGGTGGTGTTTCTGGAGTATCAGAGTTTATCCATTTTCTTACAAATGTGGTAACTGTTGCTTTCATTATGTTGGTGCAGGCACTTGATCGATTCACTAGCTAAAGAAACTGAATTAAGAACATCTGAAGAGCGTTTGTACAGAAGCTCCTGCTTGACCCATTTATTAAGAGAGTCATTTGGTGGCAACGCCAAGCTCACAGTTATTTGTGCTATCTCTCCAGATAACAGGTACATATCTTTAAGTTTTTTTGTTGTCTCAAAGCACCCTAAACTGTCCTTGAATGTTAAAGTAGCTTTGCTTGTATAAAATGCAGCTTTTCAGGTGAAACGTTAAGGACATTGAGATTCGGACAACGATTGAAATCAGTTCAGAATCGACCAGTCATAAATGAAATAAAGGAAGATGACGTAAATGATCTGAGTGATCAAATTCGTCAATTAAAGGTAAGTTTTCATTCATTCAATCTTAGAAAATGACTTATATGTTTGAAATAGTTTGCTGGTTCAAACCAAACTTAACCTTTTGTCTGATTACAGGAAGAACTTATAAGAGCAAATACCAACTCAGGAAAGTCAGTTCCAAAAACTGGCTACTTTCAAGGGCCTAATGTACGAGACAGCCTGAATCATTTAAGAGTTAATATCAATCGCTCTCTGATTTTGCCAAGCATTGATAATGACTCAGACGAAGAGGTTAATTGTAACGAGGAAGATGTGATGGAATTGCATCAGCAACTGGATAAGGTCCATAGCTTTTCTGAAGATAGCTCTGATAATAGAGATTCACTTCAGTTCTCCTCCGTAGAAGAAAGTTTTGCTTCATGTTCAATGAGTGATGATGAAGTAAGTTATCCCCAAACAATTGAAGAAATAAACCCAGAAGAAATTTTTCATGATTCCAAGGTTCCTGAACCTGTGAACAATCAGAGGAGTATTTCTGTCAGCTCAATATGTCACTTCCCTAATCTTGAAGATCCACCATTGTCTGAGTCTCCGAAAATTGGAAATTCTCAAAGGAAAAGTTTGGTCGTTGCACCTAGTTTCGCTGACCACCATGAAAAGATGTCAGACAGCTTTAAGTTTAATAAAGATGTACTGAGGCAGTCATTGAGTCAGAGTAAGAACATCAGATCCTCCCTGCGATCGAGTAATACATTTGAAGATCCTACTGAGTCATTGGCAGCTAGTCTTCAAAGAGGTTTGAAGATAATTGATTATCACCAGCAAAGCTCAGCATTAAACAAATCTTCAGTATCCTTTTCCTTTGAACATCTGGCACGAAAATCATGTCCAGAAGTCAACAAACCTGTACCATCTCTTCAAACATTGGAAGAAGATAACCCCATCGCTATATCTTCTCCCCATCAGCTTTGTTCATCTTGTCAAAGAAGAATCACCAAGAATGACAATAGTTTAGTCCTGAGTAGCTCCAAGGAACTCGTAGGATTCAACGAGGGAAGGGATCTTGCGAAGGTATATACACTTCATTTAAGCAGCTATATAATTGTCACTATTTTTTTTTTACCATTCTTTTTACAGAATTAAGAGGGTTAACAGTTTTCATGTTATAGCGCAAGATAAATACGGTATTGAATAGTGTAGGTTTATCCAAACCAGATGTTTGGAATATTAGTATCATATTGAATATAACAGCTTCTGACATTCTATATATATGGAATATTCAGCAGAAGAGTGAACAAGAGAAATGTGAAATAAAGGAAGTGCAGGAGGTTCGGGACAATGAGAATAATGGCTTCAGTGATGTGTCTGAGAAGGAAGAACTTGTTAAAGAAATCCAAAATTTAAGGAGTAAGCTGCAGGCATTTGCTGATGTTTCAACTAACAAGTCAACTGACAAGCTGAGGTCCTCGCTATTGTTGTCACGGTCCATCCAACTAAGAAAAAGCGGTCTAGGAGGAGGAGGAGGAGGAGGTTGTCAAACTATTAACGAGGAGGAACTTGAAAAGGAAAGGGAGAGATGGACAGAAATGGAGAGTGAATGGATTTCATTAACTGATGAACTGAGAGTCGATTTGGAATCCATTCGGCGGCGTGCAGAGAAGGTGGAGAATGAACTGAATTCAGAGAAGAAGTGCAATGAGGAGCTGGAGGATGCCCTTCACAGATCTGTTCTTGGACATGCTAGATTTGTTGAGCATTATGCTGAATTGCAAGAGAAATATAATGAGTTGGTGGGAAAGCACCGTGCCATCATGGGAGGGATAGCTGAGGTTAAAAGGGCTGCACAAAAGGCTGGTTCCAAAGGACATGGTTCTCGCTTTTCTAAATCCCTCGCTGCTGAGCTTTCAGCTCTGAGATTTGAGAGGGACAGAGAGAGAGAATTATTGAAAAAGGAAAACAAAGGCCTCAAGGTTCAACTTAGAGACACTGCTGAAGCTGTCCATGCTGCTGGGGAACTTCTTGTTAGGCTTAGAGAAGCAGAACATTCAGCATCAGTTGCAGAGGTAACACTCTTAACCTTGTGTATTATTTGTGTGTACATAGAACAAATTGAAGTAAAAATGAAATCATTATCAAAATCGGGACAGCTTTTAAGAGGTATTTCTCTCTCGTCGGTAGTATTTCTCTCACGTCGGTAGTATTCAAATCTTGGAAGCAAGTCTCTCAGGTAGTATAGTAATCTGGTCTGGATGGACTGGCTGTCTGATTGAGTAACCCCGTAGTTTGTCCAGCCTAGTTTCCTAAGAGTGGTCGATATCGACTAAGTTCCTTTTCTTTTGTTTCGGGCCAGCTTTCTCTTGTAAGCATAACTCCCCCTCCTTTTTCTATACTGAATCCTACCGGTCAAGTCTTGGAAGCAAGCAAGTCTCTTAGTGAGTATAGTCATCCAGTCTGGATGGTGGTTGTCTGATTCAGTAGTCCCGTAGTTTGTCCAGCCTATTTCCTAAGAGTGATCGATGTCGACTAAGTTCCTTTTCTTTTGTTTTGGACCAACTTTCGACCAAGTTCCTTTTCGTTTTCCCTATACTGAATCCTACCGAGAAGTAGAGGAAGTAGTCTTTTTAACTGAGTCCCCTAGTTTTCCATTCAATTCGGGCCTAAGAGTCCCCTAGTTTTTCATTCGATTCAGTCCTAAGAGCGGTTGAAGTCGTATCAGGTCCAATTGCTTCTTTTGCTTGGCCAATTCTTCGATCGGTCTATTTAGATTAAGATTCATTCCTCTTATTTTCGACAATTTCTTGTTAAAAAACACAGGAGAACTTTACATCAGTTCAACAAGAAAACGAGAAGTTGAAGAAGCAAATGGAGAAACTCAAAAGAAAGCATAAGATGGAGATGATTACAATGAAGCAGTACCTTGCAGAGAGTAAATTGCCAGCTTCTGCTCTCGAACCACTATATCATCAGGATCACTCCGACCTTGGAAACGACAAGAGAGCATCGTACGTAGACGACGATCAAGCTTGGAGATCAGAATTTGGAGCTATATATCAAGAGCAGCACTACTAACATTATCCAGTTTGAACCTACTTTGGTTTTGTACAAAGGGGGAGGGGCTGCTGCATCAGAAGAAGAGAGAACCCTACTTGGGTCATGTGAGATTGATTGATTTATGTGTCATTATTTGCTTTTGGTATTGGTTTTCCATTGTGTATTGTATGGATGAGATGATTCTTTAATTATTAGTATAATTTATTCAAAGTTCCACAATATATGTATGCACTATGTGCTTGGTTTCAACACGCCTAGCAAACAACTCGGGCACAACAAACAAGTTTAATTCATGCACGACCTCTAAATGTGACCCGTGATGATTGTTGGTTGTTGCCTTCAATGGGACGAGCATTGCTGGATTTAGTACAATAGTTAGAAACTCAAACGGTGAAACTACAGTATGGAATTGGTAGAACTTGTTGTAGTCGGAATTAGGAGAGCTTATGAGGCGAGTCTTCACTCTCAACTTTGGTAATTGTGCCAAGTTAAAATAAGATCCGTGGAAAAGATACCAAAATAAGAAAAGAAATTTTAAAAAAATAGTGAAATTATCGACTAGTTTGAGGAAAATCGAAGGAAAAAGACATCAGAGAGACGAACGCTTCTAGACTCGAAGGGACATGTGTCCCACGGAAGAAATTCATCAAGAATTGCTTCATCTAGGTTTCAAACAAGGGACATTGAAGTCGAACATGTCGCGACACGTGTTGCCACAAGAAAAATTAATGAAATGCCTACATTGATTGTGCGTGAGATGATTGTGTGCGAGGATGCACGTGGGTACTCGCACGTGGATTTAGGGTTTAGGGTTTAAGGAGCTTTGAACTCAAGTGTGGGAGGTGATTGTGCGTGAGGATGCACGTGGGTCTCGCATGTGGTTTTATGCAAGTGGCCTTTCTCAACCTCGTGTGGGGTGCGTGACAAGCATGTGAAGCTTGTTTTTCACCCATTTGAGTTTCGTTGTCCGTTTTTTTTATTGATTTTAATGTTAATCTTAGTTTAACTTGATATAGAACCAACTTGAGGAGTATTGAAAGACGAAAATTTGATCAATGGAAGACATATTCAAGAAAGTAAATAACCAAAATAATCATTCTTGAAATTTCTTGTAGGAATCGGTCAGAACTTGGATAATAGGATTGGTAGCATGTCTTAAGACCTGATATGCTAAGAAATTTGTAGAACGAAATTTATGCATTAAAAGGTAAATTGGAATAATTATTGGACATTTTAATATCTATTCATCCGTTCCACACCGACTTAAAAAGTAAATCAATATTTTTGATAGAAAAATATTATTAATGTAAATGAAGTATTAATAATAAATTTTTTAAATTTATTTAATAATTGTGAAATGTTTATTTGTTAATTTAAATAATTTTTATGAATTTTTTATATTTATTTATTTATTTAAATACTCATCGAAATTGATATTTTCATAAAATGAGAATTTGGAAATGAAAATAAATTTGGATATATCTCCAATTAAAGAAAAAAAAAAACAAAATTGAAACGACGTCGTGCAGCTGCGTTTAGATTGGTGTGCAGTAAAAAAAAAAAAAAGGTTGGGAACTTTTGCATTCGGGAGATTAAGAGATTGGGAAAGGGTTTAGCAGAGCAGAGAGGGAGGAAGATAGAGAATTGCGGCCATGGCGGATTCTTCGAAGGACGAGTCATCTGACGCTGAGCTTGACACCAATCCATCAGACAGCCCTAATTCTTCTGCCGCCGTAGTTTCCCCCTCTTTTGGTGGCCCTGCTCTTTGTTTTTTCAGGTTTGCCGGTGACTCCGCTGCTGGAGCCTTCATGGGCTCCATTTTCGGCTACGGTATCTCTCTCCCTCCTTCCCTGTCAAGAATGTTTCATTTTTGTTTTGGCTTTATATGTTTGATTACGCTGTTCTCTGAGGTATCGGATTTTTAGATATAGACAAGGGGTTCGGTTGTTGTTGAAATTGGGATGATTATAGAATAACCCGATTCCATTCATTGGTAATCCTTACAAAACGTATCAGCAAGTTGAAACTGATTCCAAAAATCATCCAAAAATCAGAGAACCAGAAACATGAGTGTCACGAAGTAGCATTAGCAAGAGCATGATTGTGCTTCCAATGAGTATTGATACACGTGGCAATCAACATCCTCAAAAGCTATTAAGAACAACCATTAGATATGTTGTCATTGGACTAGCACTAAGACATTGAAGAGGGAAACATATATTTGGTACCAAATCTGTAGATATAGTAGTTGATAAGAGAACGACAAGGAGAAGAATCATCAACCCTCAAAAGGGCTAACTTCAATTTCTATTGCTATTGCTTAGATTTACCAACTTTAGCCTAACTCAACTGATCTAGACATATATCTTTGTTTAAAAGGTCGTAGGTTCGAACCCCTACCCCAATGTGTTGTTGAATCGAAAAAAAGAAAAAAAAAAAAAGTTAGTCAAGGAAGTCAATGTTCTCACACAGTTGCAGACAATAGTTTCCTAGAAGAAAGGAAGACTCCATGCTGAGACTTGACAACTTTAAGCTGAGAAACTAACGGACAGAGCCAAGATCTTTACGCTGAAACTGACCATGAAGCAAAAGTTTGACTGAATCAGTAGTATCTTTGACAATGATGGGTTTAAAATAATAAAATCAATGTACATGTAACGACCCAAGCCCACCGCTAGCAGATATTTGTCTCTTTTGGGCCTTCCCTTTCGAGCTTTCCCTCAAGGTTTTTAAAATTCGTCTGTTAGGGAGAGGTTTCCACACCCTTATAAAGAATGCTTCGTTCTCCTCTCCAGCCGTTGTGAGATCTCACAATCCACCTCCCTTCAGGGCCCAGCGTCTTCGCTGACACTCGTTCCCCTCTTCAATCGATGTGGGATCTCACAATCCACCCCCCTTCGAGGTCCAGCGTCCTCACTGACACACTACTTGGTGTCTGGCTCTAATACTATTTGTAACAGCCCAAGCCCACTGCTAGCAAATATTGTACTCTTTGGACTTTTAATTTCGGGCTTCCTCTCAAGGTTTTTAAAACGTGTCAACTCGGGAGAGGTTTCCACACCCTTATAAAGAATACTTCGTTCCCCTCTCCTACCGATGTGGGATATCACAGTACACCAACAATGCAACAAAGGAACAGTTTGAATCATGAGTAAACAAACACTAATCTACCATGGACTAAGAAGAACAAAGGGAAAGAAGTACATTAGAGAACTTAATGAACTATTGACGTGATTAGGAAGAGCAACAAACATGTTAGAACGATTCTCTAAGGTTGAAAAAGTGTTCCAGAATAGTGATATAACTATTTGCACAAGAATCTTATCCGTGCACTAATAGAGTGATTTAGTAATGCAGTTAAAACAAGATCTGCCATATGAAATGTAGAACTGGCCATGTCTTCATTACTGAAGGAAGATAACGATGACACTGGTGAGTTTCCAGTTTATTGAATAGGAAATATGAGCGAATTGGGGAAGATTCAAGAGGTACTAATGATGTAAAGCGTACACCCTCTAATACTCACCTTCCTTCCTGAACCACACCATACAGTCAGCTATCTAACTAACTCACATTCCCTGGGACCCATAGTAAACATTATGCAATACTAGACGGTAGACTACTAAAAAACTCAAGTTCTGACTTCTGTTAAGGATCCATCTAAACTAAGAGAGCAAGGGGCTCTGAATTGATCATTTAACGGACAAGTTGTTACTGCTTCTCTTTTATAACCTGTGAAAAAAGCCTTAATCATTGGTAGCCGGATTGTTAACATGTGTATCATTGAGTCGCATTGGAAAAATCATGATATGAATTTAGTTTACAGCTTTTCTAGTATAGCCATGCTCTTGGAAGGAACATACCCGATTTTTGAAGCACGTATTGATATGGCATCATTGGCTACACTAACAATCTAGTATAGGTATTGTGCATATTTTAATTCCATTGCAACTCATGAAAAAGAATTACATGCTTCAGAAGTTGACATGCACTAAAAAACCGTCCTCTGCACCGATACAAGATCATGTCAGTGTATCTGAAGGGACAAAATCTTTTTATTATATACTTAAACCAGTATACTCTTCATATAAATATAGAATTTGTAACCACGGATTTCTAATATAGTTGACTAAATTAACTACCGTTATAACGAACTTACTATAGAAAAAAATGGGGGCTGTTTTTTTTTTCTTCCTCCTCTTTTTCACGTTATACATTACAGTTCCTTTACTTACAATATTGCTTTGAGACAATTAAAATTGAATGCATTTTGAATGTCCCTTAGGTTCAGGATTGTTTAAGAAGAAGGGCTTTAAAGGATCATTTGCAGACGCTGGATCTAGTGCGAAGGTGTGATTTGTCGAGTATATTATTATTGATTGAAAAAGATTAATGGAGTTCTTCTCACTGAATAAATTTCATAACTGGTTTCTGGCCCTAAAGATTTGAATGTCCTATTTCGTTCACTGATCTTTTGCAACTTTGATTTATGAATCAGACATTTGCAGTTTTGTCTGGGGTACACAGCTTGGTCGTTTGCATGTTAAAGAGGCTGAGAGGAAAGGATGATAGTGAGTTTCTTCACTTTGGAAATGTCATTATTTAGCCATATGCATCCCTTTCTAATGAAGCTAACGAATTTTGTAGTTATTAATGCGGGGGTAGCTGGATGCTGCACTGGTCTAGCTCTAAGTTTTCCAGGTAGTAGCCTTTTCAACTGGCATTTTTCTTCATTCTGTAATTTTTCCTTGGCTTCACTTAGTGAAAAAAAATAAGAAACCTCATGATTACTGGATTACGTTTCGGGGGGGTATCTGGCATCTTTGTATATTTTAATTCATTGAGCGTACCAATTCAACTGTATTTCGGCTTGTTTGCTTAGACCAGGATTACGTTTCGGGGGGTATCTGGCGTCTTTGTATATTTTAATTCATTGAGCGTACCGTACCAATTGGACTTGTATTTCGGCCTGTTTGCTTGGACCTGGATGACGTTTCTGGGGGTATCTGGCGTCTTTGTATATTTTAATTCATTGAGCATACCGTACCAATTGGACTTGTATTTCGGCTTGTTTGCTCGGACCTGTCTATTGCATGTCGATGTCCACTTCCATTACACAAATGTTGCTTTGATATAAAGAAGTTGAGACATATATGACTGCTACTTAGAACTCGTGTATGTAAATATAAGCTCTTAATCTGCAGGCGCCCCACAGGCTCTTCTCCAGAATTGCCTCACTTTTGGAGCTTTTTCCTTTATACTTGAAGGCCTTAACAAGCAGCAGCCAGCATTAGCTCATCCCGTGTTCTCGAGAAAGAGAAGCGATATGGAGAGGAATCGTCCTCCCATGGTTTTGCCCCTTCAGATTGCGCTTCCAGCTGAATTTAAAGGTGCGTTTTCTGCATTCTGCAAGTCGTTGGAGAAGAGGAGAACGAGCTGGTAATGCATAATCCAGCATTCTTTTAACATGTTTTGCAGAACAGCCATGTTAATGGCAATTTGTAGCTAATGTTTGGAAGAGTTTACTTGTTGCAATTTGAGTTGGAAAGTGACTGGTTTTTTTTTTTTTTTTTTTTTTTTTTGCCTTGTGGACTTTAGATAGTTGATTTGGAGCAATGCTTGTTAGCTTGTCCGTAAATGCCTCTTGTTTAAATTTTAATTTTTTTAAAAAATATTAATTAGATTTTAAAAAATTAAAAGATATTTTTGTAACCATTTTAAAAATTTTAAAATTAAGATATTAAGGAACTGCCAAACATTTTTGTGGTGACCCAGCTTTCTCAGTATTTGAAAAAAACGACAACATCTGGTGTTCTTCAGCTGTACACAGTGCAGAGTGCAGTTTGTCTCTTCCTTGAAATATTGAATATTTTTGTTAAGAATATTTTTGTTAGAGGAGTTGAGGGAGTAGGCATTATTTTTAGAGAAGAGGTAATAAATTGGGAGTTATCAGACTCATTGCTGCAAGCTTCCAGAATACCATGGGATATTCGTAAAGTTGATCATGATGAGTGTTATGACGAATTTGATTGGGAAGTTATGTGGTTGCAGCTCTGTTTGATCTTCTACATCAGAAACGATTTATTGAGATTATTAGTGAGTGAGTTTCTTTGTGTCGTGAGTAGTCCGTGATTTTGCAAGTTTTGTGTCGAAAAAGTTTGGTATTTCTAAGGAATTGCCAACAGGATGGGTGATTTCCAAATTGTTGTAAGAATCAAGAAACTCAACAACAACTACAACACGTGCGCAACATGTATTATGTCATATTTACAAGGACATGACCTTTGGGAGATTGTTGGCGGGAGTAAAACTACGACGACAGAGGAGGATCCTAACGGGACCTTGCGCAAATGGAGAATCAAAGCAGGCAAACAAATGTGTTGCCTCGAAGACCACAATTAGAGAAGAGATGTTAGAGCACATTCGGGATGACAAGACACCGAAAAAAGCATGAGACACGTTCGTGATGTTGTTCTCAAAGAAAAACGATACGAGACTACAACTTCTGGACAACGAGTTGTTGTCAATTTTACAATGTGACAAGACATGAAGAGAACTAGACCTGAAGTCCGCCACTGGAGAATCTCAAATGAAAAGAATCATTATTCACGTATTGCGACCATAATATAGAAGTTTCGTTATTGTTGTACAAGGGTGGCATGCTCAACCATTACTCGTAGAGTTTGAAAATTTGTTAGTTAGTCTATAAGCCAATGCTAAACAAATGGGAGAAATCGCTCAACCATCACTTTTAAAGTTTGAAAATTTGTTAGCTTTTTAAGGAGCTGTGCCTAAACAAATGGGAGAAATCAAATTAAAGGGTGAAGAAGAGCACTCTACACAAATGAAAGTTGAAGCAACAAAAATGGTGATAAAGAAAGAAGTCATCAAGAAACTTCACAACTAGGGAGAGCTCAGAAGAACAACAACAATAACTCGAAGATTTGGAGATATTTACTACAATTGCTAGAAAAAGGGCCACATGTCCCGGGATTGTTGGTCCAACAAAAATTTGTTGAGAACAATGTGGCAACATCAAAAAAGGAGATGGATGAATGGTATTGAAAGCAATGTAGCAACATCCAAAAAGGAGATGGAGGACAAACGGGTTACAGAGGTAATATGTATCATAGAAAAAGACGAGCTAACGCTCATGACAATAATTGTGGGTACCTAAGGAAGAAGGCTAAATTATCTCAGATTTTGATTATTGTAAATTAAAAATAAAAAAAAGTAAATTATTGTAAATTATCTTAAATTTGGTTAATTGCAAGATTAAATTATCTTCTTTCCAAATATGATTATGATTTCCATAAATAGCAACCATTTAATTCAATATTTAAACGATTAAATTCTTGAATTTAGTTTCTATTTATTTAATAAAATTATAATAATATATTTAGGATGATTTTGAATTTTGTTTTACATGATTTAAAATTTTATAGAGTAAGATAGATCGAGAACCATTATTGGATCTACTATGATTTCTCTCGTGGAAAATACGGGGGATGAAAGTCAAATGGGGAAACTTAATTGGTACACTAAGTGGACGTGGTATGGGGGTTTAGTTGAAGACGTGTGATTGGTTGAGTTTGCAAAAGTTTCGTGAGCTTGTCAGAGTCCACGCAAATTTATTACAATCGTTTATTTTTTTAACGGTTACAAGTTTAAAGATGTCAATGATAACGTTGTAATTCAATTACGCTAAGTGAATTACATTGTCAGTATGTGTGTACGTATCACCTCCTGTTTAACCTTTATTTTACACCACCATTTAGAATCTAAGCAATTAATTCTATATTTCTACGTGCAAATAATTCAAAGAGTCATTTTAGACATATTAGGAAGGTAAACAAAGTCACAGTGGCTTTACATCTAATTGGATAAGAATTGAAATAATCATGTAAAAAAGTGTGAGATTCCACGTCCGTTCGGAGGAGAAAGAAACACCATTTATAAAAGTGTGAAAACCTCTTTCTAGCATATGCGTTTTAAAAACCTTGACAGGAAACCCGAAAAGCAAAGCCTAAAAAGAACAAGATCTGCTAACGGTGGATTTGGACCGTTACAAAGAGAATGAGAAATTCAAGCTCAAGACTTAAGGGAGAATCGTCATCTCATCTCGACCCTACAAATGCATCAAGTCAAATTGGTCCTGAGATGTTGTCAAGAGTGCCTCAACACTACGACAACACCATGTGCAACTCTCATGTCAAAGCAAACACACGTGCAGGCAAACTTTTGTTCATATCGTGTCAACACTGCAATATGCTTCCTTACCACGAGCGTCTCAATGCTACCCCAATTTTTTCTATTATAACCATCATTTTTAGCTGCTTTTGGAAGAACGTCTAGGGGATTCTTAACCTAACCACAAAATCACGAATGGGTAGGTTTAGGATACACTTCTGAATGTACGAAAAAGGCTTTTCAACGTTCAAGATCATGGATATTGCACCAAAAGATTGTCACACTATTCTATATTTGTTATTGCATTCAGGTTAATTAACTATTAAGATTCGATACAAATTAAGATCCGATTTGTGTGTAGAATTACATATTAATCATATGAATCTAAAATAACAAAGAAATAATAATGTGGTTTGCAAATTAATAGCAAAAGAAGAGGCAAGCAACATCTTAAGCTTGTGAACTCCAATGCTTTGCTCTCTCAAACCCATTGGTACCATTCTCAAAATCCTCAATGGTTTGGTCAATCTCTTCTTCAGTGTTCATCACAAATGGCCCCATCTGCACAACACTCTCATTCAATGGCTCACCCCCAACCAATATAAACCTTAGGGCTTCAGAGGAAGACTTGTTCCAAGCCTCCAATCCATCCCCACTCCCTAACAAAAGAATGTGATGTGATGCAATCGGCATCGATTTCACGCTCCCGAACACTCCGTCCTCGCCTTCTAGCACGTACACGAACGCGTTCCATCCCACTGGGATCGGCTGCTCGATGTGAGATCCTGGGTCTAGTGTGAAATCCAAGTACATGGTCGGAGTCTTGGTGTAAATTGGGGATCGTTTTCCCATGGCTTCTCCCGCTATCACTCTCACTTTTACTCCGTCTTTTTTAGCTTCTACTACGTCGTTGTTATGTACTTCTTGATACCTCGGCTCTATCCTGTCGATGAAAACACGATTATTATGAAAATTTAACGTTTTTTGAATTGAAATCGAAGGATTTGAAGTTACATTTTGTGTTTGGAGGAGAGATTGATCCAAAGTTGTAAGCCATGTTGAGTGCCATGGGAGGCAGGCATTTCAGAGTGGACAATGCCTTTGCCAGCAGTCATCCATTGCAAGTCGCCAGCTCCAATTGTTCCTTTATGGCCTTGAAAATCTTCGTGTGTCATTGCTCCCTTGAATCAAATTTTAAAACAAACATCTCGACTAATTAAGAGATTGATCATGAGTTTATAAATAAGGAATACTATCTCTATTGATACGATGTCTTTTAGAGAAATCAAAAGCAAAGTCACAAGAGCTTATACTCAAAATAGATAGTATCATACTAGAGAATCGTAATTTTAAAGAACAATATGAATACCTGCAGCATGTAGGTGACAGTTTCAAATCCTCGATGTGGATGATCAGGAAAACCAGCTGGTGGAGTCACTACAATAATATATTTTAATTTCCTCCTCTTAATTTCTTGAGCAAATAAATCAATAAAAATCGAAAGATTTTGAGAAGTGGGTACCAAAGAACTCGTCTAGAACAAGGAATGGATCAAAGTATTTGAGTTCATACCTGGAAAAAAAAAGTTAATTGAATGGGTGGCTCGAACAACTCAAATAGAGCTCACATCTCAATCACTAACATTAGTTGAATCGTGTTTACCTGCCGATGCTTCTTCTTACGACAGCGCCGAAGCCTTCATGTTGAGGTCGAGCAAGGAGCTTTCGATCGACAAAACGAGGGCGTTCGAGTGCAACATAGCTTTGTAGAGACATATTTGATAGGAAATTTGTGGGTGTTTGGAGTTGAAATGGGATATGTATTTATAGAGAGAGGAGAGAGAAATGGAGATTTGTTTATGATAATAAATTTTGAAACGTTGAATTTGGGAGATAGGCGTTGGGAGAGGTCAAAGGGAGAGAGAGAGAGATTGCTTGAGGAGGAGGGAGAACAAAATAGCCATTCTTTTTGTTTATAATTATAGCTATGTCAGCGTGACGGTCGGATTACATCGACCGTCTATGACTTTTAACTTTCAATCTTAGCCGTTCGATTTCGACCAATCACCATCGCTCCTTGTTGTCTGTGTTTTTTGAAATTGCCTACTTCTAACAACTTACCAAACACAATATTTAAATAATAATTATTATTATTTAACTATTATAATATAATAAAGTTGGCCTTAGTGATCCAACGATGCCGAGTGGAAGGGCTGTCGCTCAACGGATAAAAGTAACTCTAGGGATAACAGGCTGATCTTCCCTAAAAGTTCACATTGATGGGAAGATTTGGCACTTCGATGTCGGCTCTTTGCCACCTGGGGCTGTAGTATGTTTCAAGGGTTGGGCTGTTCGCCCATTAAATAGGATTTTTAATAA